CAACAGTACTATGATAACTGGGTGTTTCATTGAAAGGCATTTCATGTTGTGGTAAGGAAACATCTTTTCTCTCTATATCCTCAACAGTACTATGATAACTAGGTGTTTCATTGTTGTGATGAGTGAACATTCCTGTTTACATCTCCAACAATACTATGATAAGTGTCAGGAACAGAGCAGAATATTTATTATATTTTTTGCTATTGTAATGTTTTATTTTATTTTTATGAGAATGAATTAACTACACCTTCTTCTACTGCACTTTATTTTACTAATTCTCAGATCTTGCCAATAGAGCTGCAAAGTGATTGAAAGTTATGGTTGGTTCAATGTGTTGTGAGATACTTTTGTCCAGTTTCCTATCGTAACTTTTTTGTAAGTGTCAGGTTATATTGTATTTGTGCTTGTGGTGGATAAAATGTTTATAAAATTAAATCAATTAAAACCTAGAACCCAATTTAATTTGATCCTTAGATTTGAAAGATTTAGTCTACAGGCCATTTTTTTTTATCGTTTTCTTTGAGATACTAATGAATTTACTAGATTCTTCCTGACATTTACTGTTCTGTTGAAAAGATGTTATACAAGTCATTGTGTAGAATAAGAATACAAAGTATTTCACGTAATTATATTAATAGAACATATTCATTATTTGTTGATGATTCAGTTGGACAGCAGTAAGTCTAAGGACTTGCAATTCTAAACTCCAGGGTTTGATTTCCTGCAGTGGACATAGCAGATAGCCCAATGTGGCTTTGCTAAAAATAACAGACAAACAGGAATTTGAAAAATTTCTGTGGTGTAAATGGATGAAAACTAATGAGTTACCTTCAGCAGTCAGTGAATCTTATTTTGTCCATTTCTTGCTATACTTGATTGTCCAGGCTTCAGTTTTGTTTAATATTATTACAAAAGCGAATCGCTTTACATGATTAATGAAAGAAAACAGGTAAAATTTGTACTAAGTTTTTCTAAATAGGCTGTGCATTTGTCTTACACATATTTATAATTTTTTTAGGAATATATCTGAAACACCAGAAAATTGTCTTTTAATATGAGAAGAACTTGCTTATTTGGTTAACATGTACAGTTGTCCCCGAGGTACCATTACTAGGATTGCAAGCATGCTTAACAGTTGAAATTACTTTGTAACTATGTGTGAAAAAAATGTATGATAAAAATAAAGTACAATTTGAGCCATTTTTTGTAATGCATCTATATAAAAGTCACGTTTATTCTTGCAAACCAAAATTTGACACTTTGGTGGCAGCCCCCCAACACCATCACTGGTGGCTAAGCTATCCTTATGATGATACAGTGCAGATAACCCAATTTGTAATTCTGCATGTAAACAAACAAAATAAACCTTTTGGTAGATAATATATTCCTATAGGTTGTCAAAGTATTGATGATCTAATTATTTTTACGTTATTTCATCATCGTCATCATTTGCCATCTACAGGTAGTCTTTATGTAAGAGCAAATCACAAAATTATTTTAGAATGTTTAAGATAGTGAAATAAAGATAAATTTTGGAGTCCAACAGTAATGATGAATGTATAATTTGATAAAGAAATTTTTTTTTATATCATATAGTAATCACAGTACTGTCTAAAGTAACATTTGAAAGCTAAAACTGATCTGGTTAATTTTTGGCCTCGCATGATGAATGAGTAAGTTTTCTTGTATAGAGGTTTTGTTCATCATTGTCCCTTGTTAAAATCGTAAAATTATTTGAATGAATGACTACATCATACTCATCTAGGGCATGCTTCAATACATTTGGTTTATTCAGCATTATTAAATTTGCATGTTCTTTCACATCTGTTTTCCTGTGGTTAACTGATGTAACCTTTCTTGCAACAAGGACATGTGCATTGATAAAATACATTTTATATTTTTGAAAAAATCTTTATGCCTGAATGAATACTACAAATGACACTCAGATTTAAAAATGCATCTCAGTTATACATATGGATACACTAGGAAGTAGGGTCACATTTGTTTTTCAACCAGGCGTGGGCACCTACAGAATTATTTTCAGGGGGGGGGGGTCAAAATATGTATGTAGGGGATCAGCTTTTACAGTGTAAGTCAACAGACAAAAGGAATGTGTGCTTAAATGCAAACACACATTTACAGTTTTAATAAAAATTACTAAAAATATTTATTTTAACTACGATGTTAAGTTTATATCATAATACATGCAACTTTTTTGTGAAATGTAGGGGGGGGGCAAATGCCCTCTCTTGCCTCTTCCAGCAGGTGCTCATGTAACCAGGTAATGATTTTATCTAATTTTAACAAATGTACCAGTGTGGTTGCATTGGTGCAATGATACCAGTTGCAGCATGCAATATAGAGAATAAAACCAATAGATACAGTCTCCTTTCATTAACGGTATACAACTGTTAATTAATTTAACTAATTTGGGCCAAAATGTGTAGTTATCTTTTCTTCCAAGGCTGTCAACTGTCATTTGGTCAACAGGTGGCTAGTGAATATACATATTGATATAAATATTCATGAAGGCTGTGCCGTGTATGGGGACCCAACTGTCGAGAATGTGTTTTGAAAAAACAAATTTATTCAAGATTCACAGTCGATTAAGTAATAAAATTCAGTTTAATGTTGTTGTTGTTTTTTAGAAGTTTTTACAATTTACTTAATTTCATTATTTATCCATACTTATTGGATAAATTTGGAATAATTCTATGCAATTTGATATTGTTTTGATTCCTGTGAATTCTTAGGGCTACTGACTAACCTTAAGAAGTCAGTCACTTAAACATATTAGTGGCATTTCATTTATAGATCAAGATTCATATTTTTTACATGTGATAATACAGATATTATGCAAAGACATCTTATTTAGACATACAATCTTTGGTCTAGATTTATCAAGAATGTTACCTTCCTAGAAATGAAGCTTTGTATAGGTTAAATAGATGAGAAAGTATTGGTCTGTAATAGAGTGTACATGGGCAACCACATTCTGTTAGATTTCTCTCAAAACTTTTCATATTTTAACAGCTTTGTCTAGAAGAATGTGGGCATTAGTAGGCTAAGCCTACATTTTTTCTAGTTGCAAGCAAGGTTATATTGATTCTATCCCAAGAAAACTGCTGATGCTAATAAAGGAACATGCAAATTTAAGAATGCTGAACAAATCAAGTATAATGGAGAACTCTCTAGATAAGTCCATTCTTAACAAGGGCCAATGATGAACGAAGTTTGTATAAAAGAGTTTACCCATGCCAAAAGTTGAGGCTTAAAATTATCTAAGTTAATTCAACTTATAAATTGCTTCTTGTTGTGTAATTTTAAAGAGCCTTTTCATCTCTTTATAACTATTCATGTTCTAAAGTAATTCTAGTGTGTATCAGTAAGGGATATTTTCCCTCAGAAGTGTTTTACACTATTATATCTAACTATTTCTTTGTTATATGATTTTTGGTTTATAATATATACTAAAACTATAGTTTGATATTATCTTCCTCTTCTGTTGTAGGTTCTGAGAACTCTACCAAGGCAAGCAAAGTGAGATTTTATACAGAACAGTAGGTCTTTGGATGCATGGGAGCAGAAAATTTAGAGAATGAATAATGAGAGAACTGGCACCATTAGAAAACAAACTACATGTGGCAGTAAATATTGGATCTAATGTAGTTTTAAAAATGACTTAAAAGTATAACACATTTATAATCTTTGAAATTTTAGAATTTTCACTTATCAATTCTTTTGTTGCCAGATATTGATTTCATTGTATACAAGACCCAACAGATGACTGTCAAGAGTTTACGAAAAGTTAGTATGAAAAATGTACTGAGATTAGACTCAAAGTCATTTCACATCTCTTGTTCCTAAATGGTGACCACAGCATGATATATTTGAGTTCCAGTTTATTTATATAAGTTTGAGATATATTTCGTGTTTGCTATGCTTATGAAAAGTTGTTAATTAATATTTTCTAATAACAAACATTTGTTGGAAAAAACTATGTGACAGAAATTTGAAGAAAGGCTTTATTATAATAACAATATGATGTCTATCACATTTCAACAGTAGTTGAAAGCCTGTGATGTGTTTTTGTAAATTAAAAAAATTATAGTGATAAAGAAAGAAATTAATGAACACTTACATTATTGTGTATTTCAGCACAAATATGCCTGTGATTTTTGACACTGAAATTCCTTCACTTTACAGTGAACTATCAGGTTGTTGAAGAGTAACTAGACTCATTTTATCCTCAGCAAATTTATCTTCATATCGCTCCCATGAACATACTGAGTTAGATTTTGTTAATTACACCATGAAAGCTACGAGCAATGCCAGGAGTCAGCAGATTATATTTAATTCCAATAGATTCATTTACTATTATTTTTTTATTACAAGCTATGAAGTCAGATTTGTTGCACAGTTTAATTTTCAGTTTTTGTCCATGTACATCTGATATTGGTTTATTTAATTTTTTCACTTTTCAAAAAAATGTATAATAACACATTTACGTAAAAATTATATTTAACCCTTTAAGTATGAGCCTGGCTCTTTTGCACACATCCCAATGTTTTACAGTTATGTTCAAAATTTAATTAAACAACTTCATTATCAATGTATGACATTAAAATTAGTATCAGAACATAGTTTATAATTAAAATTTCTGTATTATCAAAATTTAATTTTTTAATATCAAAAGAAATTATTTGAATTCTCAATCTTCACAGTGACATGTGAGCACTCTCAGTTTCCCCGTTTAGTTCGTATAACTTCTTTAATGTTTAAGTAATGTAAACACAATCTGTAGATAATTCTTATATCAAATGTACAGTTTCAGTGTCCTAACTTTTCTGTTTAGTGATATGTGAACAAATTTTACCAACCCATGACAGTGGTTCCGCCATATATCCTTAATTTTCAAAGCAGTTTTCAAAACTATGTGTTCCTATTTGATGTACATGTTTATAACCACTAGAAAGAACTAATTTTCTATTTTGAGCTTGCAGCCATCCTTTTGAATTTGGCAAATTTAGAGAAGTTGATTGTATGTGTGTTGTAAATGAAGTTATAGAAAAAAAAATAGGGTTAGCTAGCTAGGCATATGAATGCGGAGCTTGGTGCTTGCAGTATGCCAGTCTACTAGAACTTTCTAATGTCTTCCCACTGTGATGAATAAGCTGTACATCATACAAGCCAGGCAATAAAACTATTAAATTAAAATAAACTATGTGAAAAGGTGAATAGTTGAAATTGTGAATATCTTAGAAAAGAAACAATATGCCAAAAAAGAAATATTCAACGAAAATAGTATTGTTCATTTTATTTCAAAATTTCATTTTGCTATACACTGGTGATATAGTTATGGTTGGTGTTAGGGTAGAGAAAATGTTAGATAAAATATAAACTTATCTTAACAAAACTTTTTGATATTCATTTAGGATGTTCTGAAGGATAAGCAAACAAAATATGAAAAGTAGTTTTTTTTTCTTAGTATGAAAATCTCCTTTCACTCAGACTCCATAAATTCTCAGACAAGTTAGTAATGTTTACTAACAGCTTGCCAAGTTTAATGAATATACACTTAGTAAATCAGAGGTATAGTGTGTATGGCTTCAAGGTTTGTCAAAATGACCAAGCCCATATACAGAGGGTTAAGGTAGATAATGTTTATTGGGGGGCTCCAACTATTTTGCTAGCTTTTATGTTATCACACTTTTAATTCAAAAGGAAACATGCTAATTGTTAGTTATTATCCATATTCTTTCAACTTAATTAAATTATAAAATAAACTTCAGTCAACATTACTTTTATCAGTGATTATCAAAAATAAAATTAACAAGTTGCAGAATTTCATTCTAATGGCTTTGTCGTCTCAGATGCTTCATTATTAACAATGTGTCTAGTTTTGCTGTAAAGTATCATGCACATTATTTTGTAACCCACACACACACACGCATTTCAATGGTGTGAAGAAAATTTGATGGTTGTGATCTACAAGCAATATTTTCACAAAGTATATGCCAATGTCATTCTGTAGCATTTTGAATAACATAAAAAATATACTTTCTGCTTTTTTTTTCTTGTTAAAAATGGCACACTGCCCTCTTAACATTAGTTTGGTATTTGTGTAAATTATTCTTAAAAGCTTGATTATTAGTTTTAAAGAAGTCACTTTTTATTAGATTTTCAGATGTTTTTGTCATTAGAGAAATGTTTGAGCTTATTTATTTAAAATATACATATTTTTCAAGATATTAAAAGTCCTCCTGTCAAAGTGCTAATGTTTCATCAATTTTGTTAATGGAATTTTCATTGTTTTCAAGATTGACAAGTTACATAAAGAAAACTGTTTATCAAATTTTAAGTGGGATATCATGTCTATTTTCTAGAGGGAATAGTTTTTATACAAGAGAGGAATTTACATGTACATATTTGTGGAAAAGAAGGAAATTGCTTATATATATATATTTGTAAACAATAATAATGCAAATAACTCCTAGTGTGTATCCTCAGGTTCTTTTATCAAATTAAAGGTTGTTTCAGAATATTTTTTACTTAATTTACCACTAAAAATTCATGTAATAACCATGCAGTAAATCTTCAAAAGCAAAGTGATATATCGGTGTAGAATTAAATGCACTGACTACCTGCAGTGATTTGAATGTTAATAAAACTAGGCTCTCAATTATAAGAAAAATATTTAACTGTTTAGGATAAAATTATGTACATATTAACTCTGATGGAAACTTGTGAGGATTACATACACAGAATTTGTTATTAGACTGCAAAAGTTGTGATTTATTTCCTCAATTAAATATTTTAAGAATCTATTGGACCTTTATATTTAGATTATTGAATATTTTTATAAACTCAGAGTTGGACTACAGCTTGATTTGTTAATTTTGTGATATGTAATTTATTTGATTATAGTTTAATATGAAATCAATTTTGATAATATATATAAATATTTATTATTTTATAAATTAATGGTAAATAACTACAACAGCAGTTTTATCATGTTACATCCAAGTTAGCAAAGAATTTATGTATAGTCATATTTTAAGATAGTTATACATACACATTAAAACATGAAAGTATCCTTTTATATCATTTGACAAGCACTAAAGTACATTACAAAGCTTGCTTGTTTTTGGACTGAGTTTTTCAATTCCAAAAATATTCTAAGCTGTTAGATTTAATTACTTAATGTTTAAACTGGTGTTTCTTCAAATGGCTAATTTTTATTAAAACTGCATTAACTATTTATTGTAGTACATACAATGGCCTCAAGCTGCAAAATGCCAAAGTTTAAACATTCTGTTGTTTGATTTGACACCAAAGTTTATTATTTTTTGCAGGAAAATATAATGAAATATTTAATTTAATTTGTCAACCTTATTGCAACTTTTTTTTGTGTGTAATATTTATATTTGAATATAGTGATTGCAGGTGCAGGGTTTTTTTTAGATGTGAATTATTTTTTGTGATAACAGAATAACATCGTTAAATGTTACTTTTATCTCAAGTATGCATGTAAATCTTTAAGTTTTTAAAAGGTGTTAATTACTGGTGAAGTATTCTGTTTCCTGTGTCTACTACGTTCTTAGACCTAAAATGGAAGAACTGCATGATATATAAAGTATGTTTCATAATTAATCTTGCAGTGGATGATTTCATTATTTCGGATTCACTTCACTCTTTATCTGGCTGTGTGTTGAGTTAGTTTAACCATTATATTAAATTGTCATGGACTTTTATGTATTATATACAAACAATTACAGGTTACTTAGGTTTAAATGAAAATTGTTTGATTTTTTAAATTTTTTCATCCATTTGTCAGTTGCATTGAAAATTTAGTTAATTAAATTTGTGAAATCTTTGTATTACATTTAACTAAGCTTTATTTTAACTTAAAATATAATTAGCATACTTTTCTTTACTATGTTATAACGTTTGTTTCAAAAGTTGTGTATTGAAAATGTAAAAATTAGCATCACACAAGAATAAACTTGCAAAAAACAGAACACTCTTCCTGCAAAAAAATGTTATTTGAACCCAAAAAAAACCACGAGTCATTATGTTGCATGAATGTATAGTAGCTTTAGTAAATATACATCTAAAAAGTGAAGGAATTAATACTGAAAAACCCCCATGGCTACATCCACAACACAAGTTAGTAAATATATTCAGAGAAGTCTGTTTGAATGTTTGAGTTATAGTGAATTGTAACTGTTAAGCTGGTTTTGAACAGATAACTTTATAAAGGTTAGGATTTGTAGGTGATAAAATAAAAGAACTGGCTCACCTGAAAAAAACATTTCAATTGTATTTTATTTTTTATAATTAAATTGAGAAATGAAAGGTATTTGTAAATTGTGTTTTAGACCAGATATCTTTTCATGTTAAACACAAAAATCTGATGCTGCATTTTATTTCCTGCAGCAAAATGTTGTGTATTTATTACTTCCTTCACTGAATTTCAACATACTTTTTTGTAGTTAAATTATGAGATGGACTAAGTAGCACTGCAAGTGTTACAGCACAGGAAAATGTGAAAAAATAATTTTGTGAACTAGATTTTTCTACAGCAATACATAAATTATTACACTTATTCAAAAAATATGCTTCTTAACTGCTTTTCAATACATAGAACAAAATTTTTAGTGCTATGTTGCACAGTGCCAACTTTTGTCCATAAAAAAAGATAAACTTGCCAATTGCAAATAATTTCAAACATTAATTTGAAGTATATTTTTCTTAGTTAAATCTAATCAAGATTTTTGTGTAAGTGCACTTGGCACATATGACTACACAGAAAAATAGTTAATACAGATAAATTTTAATATTTTAAAAAAACAATGAACATACAGGACATAACTATGATGAAGGAAAAAACAGTGAAAAATCCCTGTACATGAAGTTTGTACAAATGTCCAACTTGTAACTTGTTCCTCCTGCACTCAGCATCTAGTGGTTGTCACAGAAACAAAATAGAAAAAATATTCATTTTAAATTCCACACCTACTATTAAACAGAAACAAAATTTTTTTTGACAAATGGTAAAGCAACGAAAGTTATCTGCTGCCATCCCTAATTTTGAACTACTAACTAGAGTTAAGGCAGCCAGTTCGTTGCACCCTACCACCAATACTGAGGGTTTGAATGTCACTCTTGTATTGTACCCACAGCTTAAAGTGTGGGAAATATTTTGTGATATTACACAGATTTGAACCCAGCTTGCCAACACCAATATTCGGGACTAACCATGATCCTGGCAAACAGTAAAAGATCAGCTGTATTTACGCAAAAAGAAATGGAAGTTTCAGTAACTTTAACACTACTTGTTGAATATCTTTGTCATCAGTTGATACACTCATTAATATTCACTACAAACACACTAGAAAAACTCTCTCTCTCTTTGAAAAAACTATGTTCATTGATCTACCATTACATTATCTGTTGCCTAGAAACAGTTTATTCTGTACATTTATCTCTTGGACTACAGATTACCAACTTGTTTTTATACTTTTCACCACTAGCAAGGTCCACTTATTGGACCAGATTGGGTAATTTTATGTTTTATCTATAACAGCATCCAGTGTAAAAAAAATACCTGGGGGACCACAAACAGTAATTAGTAGAATTGCAATAATGACAGTAATTATGTTTAATATGACTTATGTTACTGGGAGCTTAGTAACCAAAAAAAGTTGTGTACTCACAAACAACTTCGTACATAAATGAATTAGAAAAATGTTTCAAGACACCTTCAATTATTCTAGGATTAATATAACAATATATCAAAGTAATCATCTTCAGTCCCAACATAATTTATTTTTATAAATTTTTAATCTACATACCTACTACTTAACAGAAATTCAGACTAATAGTTTTTCTTGAAATACAAGTTTCACAAATCTGTTGTCATACAGTGATTACATAAAACTGTAACCATTTCTAATTTTCCTGTTAAACGGTACTGATTACCAGTAATTGGTTTTATTTTAGTTATATTTTATGTAACATGAAATCAGTACAAATGCTGTTAAACTTTAATTAAGGAACAGCTCATGATCAGCTCCTAACCTAGAAACTTGCATTATGTTTCATAAAAGTACATTATCCCATACTACAGGGGTATCAAATTATGGATTTTCATTCTGGTGAGATTTTTTGTAGGGAAAAAAACATCCATGAAATTCATTGTACTGTGATTTTTGTGTAATACTGCATGACTGAAAACCACACCAACAGATCCACTTATAAAGCACCTACACAAGTTTTGAGCAGTGTAGTCATGTGAACAAGGGTAGGGTATTTTGATCTATTTTTTAACTGTAATTTAGTTTAATTTGAAAATAATTCTTAATTTCAATTTTGTTAGTTTGTATTAAAAACGTAATTGATGTGTATAATGTGTGGTCTTAATGAGTGATAATTATATAAAGATCTATTAAACATTATAAAAAAGAGGACTTGGCATGGTGCATATAAATCATATACAATTACTATTTTCTCGGTGTATTATTGAAGGTATTTGGGCAACTGTGTATTAGAAACATGGACTTTGACCTATAGGCCTTATAGGAAGTAAATATACTATAAAAAGGAAAAAAAGCATATTTGCTAAAAGCAAATATATAAAACAAAAATCTGAAAAGCACGTAATTCTTGATTTGATAGAATGCATGGAAAACATTATGTATTTTGTTAATGGTATAAAATGCATATATGTACATGAATCACGTATATAAAAATAATTTACATGACAAAAATTGTACATTTTACACACAAACAATACATAGCCCTTTCATAAGATATATACTATTCATGTGTACTTGCATATCCAAAAAGGTTCTAATTTTAGATAATGTGTTCTATTTATAATCAATTAGATGATTATATAATACTTGTCTGTCAATATAAAATCATTTTATAAGTTATGTCCAAGCCCAGATGGAATCTTTGGGAAAACTTTCAAAATTCTGCAGAAATAAATGTTTTATTTCATGTAAAAAGCCGTGTTGTTTTATGAATAAAAATAATATGTACACATTTGATGTTTATTAACTTCTCTAACAAAAATGAAAGTTTATTTATAAAGTTTAAATCTTAAATTGTAAGATACTTAATAAAATTTAACAAGACAATGCATTCTTTATAACCAGCACTTGTCACACTTTTGTGTAAGTAGGCCATCTATAAGCTTTCTTAAAAACAAATAAATATGAAATTGAGGGAAACAACTGTATATTTACAAATATTTCATATATCACCAATGCCTTTACTGGTAAACTACAATAGTAATTAATGAAATACTTGTGAAATGTACAGTTGTCTTTGTTTTCCTCAATTCTGTAATTTTGGATTTCCTGGTGGTTTCAAGGATTAGTTATATAAATAAATATGATTTCAAGACCATTTCCAAATATGTTATCTCAGCAAAAACTATTAAATTTCACTCAAAAAATAATGTAGAAATTATAAAAATCTGTCTAATTGTGATGAAATGTAGATCTTTAGACCTGAACAGGAAATGTACTTGCCTGTGCACACATTAAAAATAAGCTTTTACTTATGCTGTGATGAAAGAGAAAAACTAGCTCCAAAATAAACCTACTTTAATTTCAAGTCATTATTTTAAGTCCTGGAAATTAGGAGATGCTAATACCCATGCATATTTCTAAGCATGATCTGTCAACAAACTATCACCTTGGTACCAAGTTCTACTACAGTTGAATGGTGACAAGTTTATGAACTAAATATTCAGAAGTTGACATGTAAGGATTTAATGATGTTATTGGCTTTCTACATATGATAAAGTATAGGCAATCTTAAGCTTTACACAGTGATATACAACATTATAACTTTGCTTGAGATTTCTCTGGTTTATAAGCTGTCACATAAAACACCATGTGAAGAATGTAAGTAATGTAATTGTCTTTCTACATACTGTGAAGAATTGGTAATACTGAGCTTTCCACAGTACTATGTAGCACAGTCATGTTGCTTGTGACTTCCAATCTTTGATATTTAGTTTCAATATGATTTATTAAAATATGTGTTTTATTTTATGTATACTTAAATGCAGTACAGTACATAAGAATCTGTTTTATTTCTAAAAGCCACTGGGTATCTATAAAGAGACTACTACAGTAATTTTTTTGCACAGGATATTAAGAAGGATAGTAGTTTGATTACGTATTTGTAATCACACTTACCTTTTGTGGGCTATCCTCACTTATAGCAATGCTGTAAATACTTGAAGCTGAGGTTGGTACTTCTGCCTTAATTTCTCCAACAAAGCTCCAGTGGTAAACAAAAGGCCGTGAACCAGCTGTAATGATCTGATGAAGATAATTTAAAGTTTTACATGGCAATTTGAAATTGAAGTCATAGCTTTAAGATGAAAGTGCAAAATTTACATACATAATCTTGAGTTCCTATATAACAATGCTTTGGTTGTAATAAGCCATAAACAAATTTGATGTAAAAAGATAAGATAAATTCTTAAAGCTGAAATACCTGTCACCATCAAACTTGAAGCTTAATATCTCTGTTAGTGGATGAAAGCACAGCTAATCATACAACCTTTCCATGTAACAAAATCATGAAAAATTAGTAAGGGAACATTTTTTACTTTTTTGATTCTTAGTAATAAAATGTTTTTTTACTGCAAATACAGTTTTGTGATATGTGCTTATTTTACTAAAAGATTTAAGTCACTTCATGTTGAGATGTTTAAAGATGCAGCAATTACAAATAAAAAATGTGTGCTATCTACCATAGCCAGTAGTGCATAAATAGTCGGTCCTAACATTTCTCATTTAGTGTACGAGAATTAGAATTAAAGCATACTTTCAGAGATATTAACTTAGTTTTCAATAAAATGAAAACTGGCTAATTTTCTAATAAAAATTTTTAATCTGTGTATTTGTTACAAGCTTAAGCATCAAGCTGTATATGTTTATAATTCATTGACTAAATGATGTAGTTTTGTTTCACAAAGCAATTAATATCAGTTACTAAATTTTAACAACTTGTAATTGAACCAAACTGTGAACTATCTGGTTTGGAATATGCTCCACACACCATCCTGAAGGGCAATATAATTTATAAATGTTGCTGCCTAAACTAATGCATCTGTCAGTGGGAATAAGATAAATTTCAGCTCCATTTTAAGTCTATCTAACATCCTGGGAAATGGCAGTCACTGATGCTTTTTCTTCTTTGTTGTCTAAATCCAACAAAGCATTTGCTAGCTAACCTCACAAGCTAAAAAGTAGGTCCAAATCTGAACAATTTTTTTTTCTCAATAGAGGTCAATAACTCGACTTTTTTAAAAAACATAACAATAATGTGTCGAGCATTTTACATTTGATAAGCTCACCGTTTTTATATGGCTTTACTATTATGGAATTTTAGGGCTTTTAAGATTTCTATTACTAATTTATCCTAATATAACTTAACAGTATGGTAAGGAAAAAAAACTTTTCAGACCAATTATTCAAAACAGTAATTAATTGGCCAATAACAAATGAATGGTAGTTTGTTTGCTCTTTCCCCAAACTTAAGTTTTTTTCTGCTAGGAAAAGTAAAATTATGTATGTGTTCAGATGTCATAAAAGATTTATTGTGTAATGATGTAGCAACTCAATTGATTGTTTAACTGTATGGACATGGGAAAGATCATATGTCACAACCTGTTTATAGAGTTACATTCAATATGTAATTAAACTACTTTATTATCAATATATTGTAATAAACTTGCCATCAAAATGAAGTTTATAATTCAAATTTTTAGATCATCTAACTTTTAACTTCAAAAGTAAATACTTAAATAAGATCTTAAAGTGTATCTCTGAGTCACATGACATAGTGGCATGCTGAATTCTCATTTATAGATATTTTCTCTTCCCTTTTAGAGACTTAGATTGTTAAACCAATTAGAATCATATATTACAGATATTGACAAACCAGATTATAAAATTTCAAATTCTTCCTTTAATGAGATATTATTATATTTGTCCAATCCACATGACATGCTCCTCCCTATCCTCGTCTTTTAAGAAATGTCTATAATTCTCTCCGACATTGCTATTGGACATGTTTATAATCAATAGGAACAGCATATTCTAAACTTCATAAATGAGATAATTTTATGTTTTGTTTTAGCAGTCAAAGCCAATAGTTAGAGAACATAATATATTTAGACTAAAGACATTGCTCCAGCAGTAATGGAATTTTTTAAACCTATTTATAGGTTAGTTAGAAAGACAGGTAAATTGTTATAGTTTTGGGACATTCTATTCTAGTGCCCGGTATATTTTTGTGTTATAAAAATTTATACTTTAAAGCTACATAAATTATTTTTTGACAACCAACATAGAGAGAATGAAATAGGCTTGCTATAATACGTATCCCATTACAAAAGGCCTCAAAGCTAAAGTATGTGATAAAATTTCTTGTTTTTTATGTATATTTCTATTTCTTATTATATACTTTAATTGAAATAATTAAAATATAAAAATTAGAAATTTATTAGTTTAAATAGCTTAAATGAAAAAACATTCTCTTGATTTTTCTTGAAGAAATACACGTGAGTTGCCACTTTGTAATGTAACTTAATAATATTTTTACCCTAAGCTCTCACTGGGTGATTTATTGCTTTGTTATGCTAGTTAAACACAGTTCAGAGAACAATAAAAATTTAAATGAAAGCAGTCTTGAAAATATTAAGAGGCCTGAAGGCTGTTTGGATATGTAATTGTCATTTACAATCTGCAATCATTCTAGAAAAGAAAAAAAGGTGTTTTTGTTTTTATTTCATATTTTCCAACTTTTCATTTCCTGTACATTGATGATTTAGGTATAGTTAGTGTTGGAGGTTCTAGAGATAAAGCAAATAAATTTTTGTATGAACTTTAGTATATTACATTAGACAATGAACCTATGCTATTTATTAGCTACTGTTTTTAGCAGTATAACTTATGATGTATCTAAATGAACAAAATGACAGTCACAGTCCTGTTCCTTCACTTACTGTGTCATCGTAGAATGTAGCAACAGTAGCTGTTTCCTCTCCTGCCACCAATGGTGTCACAGGAGACAGTGATCGCATGTGCCACAAGTAACATCGGGGTCCACCACCACATACCTGAATTAACAAAGATTCATATTATGTGAAGAAAGTAGTTTTCGCTACTAACTAATTTAGTTTAACAGGTATTTAGATATCACATATTTTTACTAATCATCACAAAGCACTGAATACTGAAAAAATATTTCACACAATGGCAAAATATCAAAGTCAATATATTTCTTCATATTTGATGAAGTCATGAAACTGTGTGTGTCTATATATATTTTTCTCAATTACAATTACAGGGATCAAATTCAAATGTAATATTTAAAAAGAAAAAATTCAGCCTTTAATATAACCAGTGAAATGTTACAACAAACCAGCAAAAATTCAACATGTACATTAGGGTGGTCCTTAAATGGGTATAAAATTTGGAATTTGTAAACTCTCATCCCTCAGATTTGTTTGACTGTATAAGAAAACTTAGCAGGCAAAATAGTAAGTACGTTATAGAATATTTAGTGGTCGCTCAAGACTTGGAAAAAGTTTTAGAATACGACTTCATTGACTGTTTCGAGTCTATTATAGGATGATAATAAGACAAAAGAAAACAATAATAAAGCTTAACAAATAATATTTTATTGGCTCCTTGAAGTTATTACTACTTTACAAAAGAACCAAATTTAATAAAATATGAAAAACCAGATTCTTTATGGCCAAATTAAAAGGTCAATATAACCCATATCCATCAATTTAATCTATTGAATCTAATCTGCTCAAATGTAAACTCTTTATATATATTTTTTTTCACAGGACTTTTTAGAATAAGATTATTCTACAATGTTACCAAATATTATGGATCACTACAGAACAATAACTAATATTGTGGAACTAAATGAAACAGTCTAGAAAATTAGAGAATAGCAAAGAATATTATAGATCTTTAATAAACATTCTGAAAAATTCTAGATGGTACTAAGATACAATACAAAATCATTAAAAGTTTACATACATAATATATTTTACCTTAAATAATTATTTATATGTTAGCAATTTACAGATATCCACGACAAGCCTTCAGTTCTATTTGTAAATTACAGCATATCATACAATACTAGATCTACTACATAAAAGATCAATTCACAACATAGCCATACCATCAAATTACTGTGTATATTACTAATTTTTAACCATACAAGTATTATATATTACATTGCAGGTTGTGTGTAAACAAATAATAAACAAGGAACATAAATTATATTAAGCAAATATGCGGTTTTTATTTTAAACTTCTAGATTATTGAGCAACCTCTAAATGTTGATAAATATTGTTGAAATTTTGCTCTAACATTCATTTACTTATTGGTACATATTAGTAAGGTGAAAGTATAGAAAATAAAAAGTTGCAAAATAAGGACCACCCTAATGTACATTTAGGCTTATGACACAATGCAAATGCTACATGGATATTAAAACTGATGTTGAATAAGTACAAGTAATTTACCTATAACTAAAGAGAATAAAGGCCAATATTTTTCATTTTAATGAAAAGATAAATATTCTTTAAACTTAAGAAAATAAAGTTATGCCATCCAGAGATGGTTTTGGAAAGAGTGCTAAAAATATGAATAACTATAGAAAATAAGTGTAAAATATAGCACTCATTACTTTCTGAAGTCCATTAAAATGAATTATAACATGTTATAAACTAGAATTACAGTGGCACAACTGTTATGTTGTGAAGACAAAAGGTTATTAATATCCTATAATACAATGTTTACAAACTGTTAATGAACAATCTCACAATGCAAGTATTTAATTTGGGGGGGGGGAGGTTACAAAATGCAAGAAATTTTTTGCAATATTAAAAAATGTTACCACTTTCAGACAAATGTTACTGTTAAAAGAAATGCAAGTTCTTATAATCATTATATCTTTTCTAATTTGAATTCAATGGTAAAGAAATATATTTTATCCTGGGGAGAAACTAAAGGGCTGTGGGAAAATGTGTAGTTTTGTTTGGAATGGGGTGAAGTAGGAATTTAGGAGGATTTCATTGTTTCATGGTCTGAATATTGCATTTTCTTTCTTTAACAAAATATTATTGTAATTGTTTATTATTAGAAAAAATATATTCACATACTGTAATAATTGTACTAAATTTATTTGTAAGTTTTTTTTCAGTGGTTTCCAGTAGGATAATTTAGAGAAACAAAAAATAGTTTTTTTATGGAAGTCAGTCACCAATGTTCTTTGCATGTAGCAATGCAAACTTAACACAGAGAAGTATACCCTAGTTAGAAAAAAGTCACAAAATTAAGGAAATCAAACACAGAAAATGAGAACTGTTTAAACTTCACTGAAAAAATAAACTGTTTTCAAACTTTTATATCAAGATTGAATATTTTTTTTAACTATTCAGTATTGTTGTGTAACTTTTCTATAATTTCTCTCCCAAACAAAATTTTTCAATAAAAAAGAAACAATTTTAAAGTCATAATGCAAAAGACAAATGTAACACTTCCTACCATCCAGTCATCTTGATTGTCCAAAGCCACGCAGCCCACCCACTTGCCATATCTTGGTCTATGAAGATCCTGGATACACAGTTTTCAAAATTATTTAGCACACTAAGTATCTCTACAACTTTTCACTTAAAATCAAAGAAAAAATTCAGAAATATGTAAGGTAAAAACAGCTAAAAATATTAGAAAAATACTATAAAAAAGTAGACTTTTCACCAGCATCTTCAGCATGTTAACTCTGATGAAATTTCAACATATTTCAACTAATCTTTTATATCCCATTTTTAGCTTTTTTTTACCTTATTTATCAGCACATTTATGGAATACTACTCAAACTTCAAAGATAAATATCATTTCAAACTAAAACAACTCTAAAGAATTGTATATAAATAATAAATACACTTTAAACATAACTTTATATACTGGCCAGTGTTTTTGAGAGGTGCTGTTAGAACACTTTGGTTTACAATGCTTCTTTTGGGAACTTCTCATTACCTCTATCCATCAAATGAAATGACAACAGTATTATGACAACATGAAATTAATCTCTAGTCATCAGGTTAAATGGCAACATTATTTCAGCATAAAATTAAAACTTGCCATTCCTCTCTTCACCAGGTGAAATGACAACATCATGACATTAAAACTTGTCATTACCTCTACCCATCAGGAGAAATGACAACAGCATTATGTCATGATATTAAAATTTGCCATTACCTCAGTCCATCAAGTAAAATAACAAAAGTATTAGAGCATGACATTGAAACTTGCCACTACCTCATGCTTATGTGGTTCCAGTTTGTGAACTGCTTCACCTGGCTTTCGTGTATCTGGGGAGACAAAAATTACAGTATTTTTATGTCAGAATAGTATTATTTTAGAATGTTTAAGCTATCTTAGTCATAAAGTTTTGAAAAATACCAACTTTAAAAAATATATTATACAAAAATCTTTTTGTGTACAATTTTATAGGATTCACAACAGGTTAAAACTTGTTTTTACAAAAACATGCAAAATTGCAGAAATAAAACTTACCTTTAATAAAGTCACATTAGTTTCATGACTAAGTTACTAGATTCAGGGGATAACATAGTTTGGTGGATTTGATTAGCAGAAACTGCTACACAATATTGAATTTGATTAGCAATTAGCAAATATTGCTCAGCATCTTTTTAGCATCCACCATTTTAACATATTACAATAACTAAATCCAGCACTAAAAGTCTTAACTTTTCATACAGACATCCACTAATGAAAATAGGTAAATGGTATGTTTTTATTATAACAACACTTTTATCCAGCTTCAAACCCTAATATCTAATTGTACCATACATGGCATTTCATGAACGAAATAGCTCCTGCAAGAAATACCATACACCTCAGCTGTCACAAATTAAGTCAATAATCAATTAACTCTCTCAACATTGAACCCTTGATTCTGGCGTTGTAAATCTGAAGACTTACCACTGTCCCACCGGGGGATCTCGGATAAAGCATAATTTTCATAGTTTTCAATTTTTTTTGGTTACGGAGACATCAAATAGAAAATCAGACCCTTTTGTCACATCCTCTCTTTCAGGATTTATCAATATTTTTCTCTTACATTTAATACTATATTATTTAACCAATAGAAAGCAAAGGTTTTCAACTATCAAATGACATATTATATTACATTGTGTTCTGTACAGAAAAATGTTAATTTCTCTTTCAGTAAAAGCTTCGTTCCCACAGATGAATTTGTAATGGATTTTTAATATTCTATGTTCTTTGGTACAATATTTAATCAAATAAGAATTATTTAATGCACGACTGCCATTAGTATAAAAAAAAGTAGGGTTAAGTGTCACTGACAGTCAACAGCAAATAAAAAGAAGGCCGAGGTATGTACTGTATTGGCTCAATTATATGTCAATGTTTTTTTTATTAATAATTAGGCTGTAAAAATTCATAGTCGCCTTATAATTACAGCTGACCATGAGACCCTTCCCCCCTACTATAGCCTGTCACATTCCTGGATACCCAGATAGCATCTGTCTTTGCATGTGCACCAGATGTTCACTCAAGGTCATCATTAATTCTTGCAACTAATCCACTGCACATTCAAAATGTCATGAACATACTACTACAAGGTATATGTGTATGCGAGATGCATATGACAAAGTGTGAAAATACTGTATTTGCCATTTGGTTGGAATTTTTGAGAAATTAACATCAGCTTTGGCTTTCATATATCAAACTGAAACATTATGGAACTTTCATTGTATTGTATACAATAGAAAGGAATGATTCACACGTCATGCTAAACAAAGAGGAAAGTGATTTGCAACTGTGGTTGTTTTGATTCGCAAATTTTGACGCAAACCCGGATATTTTGTCCCCTGTGGACTTTTACTGTACTTACCTTACAGAAACAGTAATTGAATTGGTCAAGTTTTTTTTTTCATTATCATTATAACTATTAGAATATTCATAATTACAAGATCATTGTAACAGTTTTACAATAATTGAATGTTATACTATGCTTGACACTATTCCTTAGCACTTATAATAATTAAAAATAATTTCCTCTAAATGTAATATTTTTTAGACAAATTCTTTTCTCAGAGAAATAAGATTTACTTGTATAAAATAAGGTTCTGTAATTATGAGTATACGTAAATACTTATGTAAAATATAAATCATTTTAGAACAAAGTAAAAAAATTACATTAAATGGATTGATTTTCTTTATAAAAGTCATTTACACATGTTTAACATAATTTTTATTTCTCTATTAAAAAAATAACTGAGGTAAATATTGAGAAAACTTTAAATCAGCTGATAAGCAAAAGACTTGTAATTCCAACACATCTGACACAACACAATCTGTATAATAAATTTAATGTTAAACAACTTTTGGAATCATAAAACAAAATTTCAGAATCATGTTTCTTTACCTGTTACTTACAAAACAAAAGATCTTTTCTGTACTTTTAAGTCTGTTATCTTATCTTACCCCAAATTCTGACAGAACCATCCTCACTTGCAGAAGCACACTTCACACTTGTGCTTGAAACTGTCACACAATGAATGTAATCTGTATGTCCTTCCAATGTCATCTGAAATGTCAACCAACACCACTCAATCCAACTTTTTACAGTTTCATACTGATCACATTCATATGCTATATCGTATATTTTAGTTTTAGAAAAATTACACCAATGCATTCACTTAATCCCCATTATTATCATAATTTGAAAAAATAATATAAAGTGTACAAAGTAGAGAATATAAAGATAAAAGAGTCATTTTTCATTATTACTGATTCATGAATACTAAAAACATTGTATCTATATGCAAAGCTACTCAGGAGCTATCTACACTAGTTGTCCCTAATTTTGAATTGATAGACTAGAAGAAAGTCAGCTAATCAACACCACATAACCACCAAATCTTGGACTACTCTTTATCAAAGAATAGCATGATTGGCTGTCACATTATAAAGCCCCAGAGCTGAAAGAGTGAGCATGTTCAATGATGGAATTCTAACCTGCAGGTTGCAAATTGAGTGCCCTAACCACCAGCCCATGCCAGGTCCAAACACTGTATATAAAAACTAATAAGCTAATATTAAAATTAAAAATTTCTTAATTCACCAGTCACACATTCTCAGTCCAGTGACAAAGTATTTTAACAGCATATCTTGTAGGACAGCAACATATTTTTTTTATACGATTGCAAAATGTTAAATAATTATAAATTTTTAACTTGTATATTACTTGCTAAACATCTGAAATGATACAGCATGATGTGATGTATAGACGGATTAAACACATTAATTATGTTTGTTTCAGATATTTCCACAAAGCTACACAATGGCTATCTGCAGTAGCTGTTCTAATTTTGAACTGAAAGGCTAGAGGGAAGGGAGCTTGTCAAAAGCACCCACCATCAACTCTAGGGTTATTCTAATTGCATAAAAGGATTTGACTATCACTCTTATAACATAAACTCAACTCAACTTCAAAGTGTGGAACATGGTTTTATAATCCATGAACCCTCAGATTTACAATCCAACAATGTGACCACAAGGCTACACTCAGCCCTCTACTTTGTGATTTAAGGATTGCATACTATACATATTTAGCATTTATTTTTATTAACAATAAAGGTTAGGATGAATGTCTTGTGAACATTATTTCCAAATATAAATGGCATGGATCCACAATGTACAAGTTTTATCATGAATAAAACTGTTGTCAGGTAAACTTCCAAGCTGCTCGAAACAAAGGAACTTTGTAGTGCACCCTTATATGCATAAATACACAGGTATTTTAATACTTTTTCTACAAAAAAGAATAGATCTAATTTTACAATCATTTTTTCGTTCTATACTGTTTGAACTGTAGATATCAGTGATGGACCACCATGTTACATATTATTTACAAACCACAGCTAAGCTAAAATGATTAACCCAACTTAATATTACTTTAGGTAACCTGTGTATACACTAGCATACAAACTTTAAGTTTCATACTTGTGACCTGATGATGATTTACAATTCTAATCATAACATATTAGACCTAGCCATGAAATATTTTATCAAAAACTTAAAATGTATTATACATTAAACTTTATATACAACCAAAATGCACTAATACATTAAACCTTATATACAAACAAAATGCATATATACATTTAATTTTAGTTTGTCCATAACATATTTATATTCTCCACTGAAAGCATAAGGAGGTGCATGTGGTACTCTTGAGTTAGCAAGCATAAGTGATGATCTTATCAAATAATGCTTTAACTATTGAATTCTTAGATGTTGCACAACCTTTGAAACATTGCATATGCATTAAATTACAAAATATAATTTTATAAGAACAAGCACTGTATTATACTATTGTGTACCACAATTGTAAAGCCACTTCATCAGAAGTAGAAGACAGTTACTTAAAAATATGAAAAAAGCTAAGGTACCATCTTAAAAATCACAACAAAAACACCTCTCGAAGCAGTTTGTTTATCAAGATTCAGGAGTTAGTTTACCAGCAATGTTCCAGATTCCAGGTCCCAGCAATAGACTTTATTGTCACCACCACCAGCATATACAGCAGGTCTCTCTCCCTGGATAAATTATATAGTACATGAATGATACATTATCTCAATAAACAAACAAAATAAGAGACTTCGTACTCTTAACGATGAAACATTGCATTCTGTATTATTAGAAAATGAGATTTAAATTTTTTTGGTAATCACTGTAAAATACGAAAAACTTAATTTATTGAACTCAGACACTGCTGATATTCAATGTCAGCAACTAGAATCACCCATAAAACATGTTGACATCTACCTGAACCAATTACATCAAAGTACCTTGCTTTACAGAAGCATTAAAGGTAGAAATTTTAAAATTCAAGAGTTTGTCACTATGTTCTAAATCACATATCAACACAGATGTTTAATGCATTGCTTTAAGTTTGTATAATAATGAGTATTACTTACTTCCACATGTGATATTCCGTAAGTTTTATAATGAGTAACATTTTCATTTTATTAAATCTTTATTTCTATAATCTAAGCTTTCTCTACATTTATTTTGTCCTCATAAAGGAGAGAAAGTAATAATTTGAACAGATTCTTTTGTTTATATTTTGTAGTTTATTGTTTTGACTTTTCAGTTTTTAGTTGTATTTGGTTGATCAGTCTCTTAAACCATCCAAGCAGTGTGCTGTTACTAGTGGCAAGGCAAGTAGGATTTTAGGTTGTATTGACAGAAATATTGAATACAAGTCTAAATAGGTTATAATTTAATTATATAAGTCATTGGGTAGGACACATTTGGAGTATTGTGTACAGTCTTGGGTGCTTTACCTTAGGAAAACATTTAACTGTTGGAAAAGGTTCAGGGGAAGGCTACTAGGATGATATCTAGTATAGAAAAATTGTCATCAAGGATAGGTTAAGATTTTGGACTTGTTTTCTCTTTAAAATATAAGAGTTAGGGGGGATTTGATAACGATGTTTAAGATTGTTAAGTAAATTGATAATGTTGATGCATCAACTTTTTTCATATTTAATGCTGAGAGAAAGGTAAAGTTATGGGACTCAAATATAAATGTTAGCCGGATAGAAGTCATCTTCAAGATTTATTATTCCAAGAGGGTGGTTGGCCTTTGGAACAAGTTGCCATCAAATGTAAATGCAGTTAGCTTAAGGGAGTTTAAGGGAAAGCTTGATAAATATTTGAATGATAAGGATGGCTTTAAGTTGTTTTTTTTTGCGTTTAATTTAATTTAGTAGATAGAATGTTCTAGATGGACCAAAAGGTCCCTTGTTGTCCTTTAATGTTACATTAATTTGCATAATTAAGGTAGTTTCATATATTTTTAGTGAGTAAACTCTTTTAAACTTCACTGTCATGCACTGGTTTTAAGACATCTGTATATTAAGTAAAATTCTGAAGTTTATGTTGTATTACATAAAATAGACATCTATGGGTAATAGAAGCCACTGTTCATAACTAACCTAAAAATCCATATATATAATTAAAAAACCTATCATTAATTATGTTAACATATGAATTGGATACAGTATTTATATATTATTATAAGCTTCAAAATTAACAAAATCAACTCTCAATATCTTTTGAACCATAAAGCCAAATTTAGTTGAAAACCTGGTCATTAATTTAACTGTCACAGTTTACAATAAGAAATAGTACGTAAAATATTTTAATTTCCATTACTACATAGAAATATTTATATAATTTAACTGACCTTTGTACTAAGACAGAGTGAATTTACTTCTGGCATTGTAAGATTTTCCCTAAAAAATAAAAAAATGGTGTCTTGAAATTAACATTCAAACTCTCAGTTCTCACATTTTACAGTTCAAACTTTATATCTAAGATATTTAATTTCTACTGTTAAACATTCATTGAAATATGTACATATACAAATACTTGTGTAATGACCTAAGAAGAAAGTGGAACCAAGATTTTATGTACCCATTTCAGATGGAAACAATAACCTATTGCACTTCATTCTGCTTGAATTTCATGTTTCACTCAATTCTACTCTTTCAGCATTGAACCTGTTGTCAGTTCTTGACCATAAACAGCCAATGTAGCTTTGTTGTGATAGGCTTTGATTTCATGATGTATTTTTAAATCAGTCTTATTAAGACAAAACTGCCATATTTATGTACATGCAGGGAAGAAATGTTTCAGAACAAACTACAAGTACCCCACTGTAGGAAAGCTGTTGTAGAGGGCCATGACTAATGAACACTGGCTGTATGTGGGTTTATGAGAATGTTTATATACAAAGATAGCAAGTGCTAGGGCAAACATGTAATTAGAGATTATATGGACACTCTAACATTCTTGTCATCAGAGTTGACAAAGAATACTTTGACTTCAGTATTCAGAAAGTCAAGGAGCATATATTTTATGATGATAAGACAAATTTGACTCTTTGTTCATGAGGATTAGAGTGCCTATTATATTTGGGAGCATGTTGTATTTGGAAAATTATAGTAGACTGTGGAACAACCCAGGTCCATGGCCCAGTCAATTATCTTAAAATAGAGGGCTGACAGTCCTAAAAGCCTAAATATTTAATTAATAAACTTAAAAAAAATTTTTGTGTTAAAATGTACTGTTACCAATGGCTCCCTCTTACAAAAAATATACCTAAGTACATGAAATTTTGGCTCACAGAAATCAGGCCTGGTCATGGTCAATAATTTACGTTTTCCACCACCTTTGACTCTAATACACATTTTTCAACAACACACCACTGTATGGCTCAACACAACAAGACATACTTGTCAACAATGATCCCCACCATTGTGCAGATCCAGTCTATATGACAAACTAGTCAACAACAGTTCACATCATCACATACACTACACTAAAAGGTGTGTTTTTCAACAATAATTGACACCACTGCATATTTCACACTACAAGAGATGTTCATCAACAACAATCCACATCATCACATACTCCACATTACAAGTTTACGTTTGTCAACAAAAATCCAGACTTTCATGTGAACTCACACTACAAGATATGCTTGTTAACAACAATCCATACCATTGTGCACTACAAAGCATGTCCTCAAAAACAATCCACAACATTACATATTTCACACTACAAGATATGCGTATTAACAACAATCCACACAATTATATACTTCACACCATAAGATATGTTTATCAAAAACAATCCACAACATTACATATTTCACACTACAAGATATGCATATTAACAATTCACACCATAAGATATGTTTATCAAAAACAATCCACAACATTACATATTTCACACTACTAGATATGTGTATTAACAACAATCCACACAATTATATACTTCACACCATAAGATATGTTTATCAAAAACAATCCACAACATTACATATTTCACACTACAAGATATGCATATTAACAATTCACACCATAAGATATGTTTATCAAAAACAATCCACAACATTACATATTTCACACTACAAGATATGCGTATTAACAACAATCCACACAATTATATACTTCACACCATAACATATGTTTATCAAAAACAATCCACAGCATTGTGTGGTTCTACACTAAAAGACATGTTCATCAACAATAACATTAAAAGGTGTTCATCGACAACAATCACACCATTGCATACTTCAAACTGCAAGATATGTTCATCAACAACAATCCATATTATGTTGCTCTTATTTTCACAGATACCTATTTCCATTCTAGAGCTTATACACCAATTTAATATGTCTCTCCTATGTATACAATGTTATTTGTTTTTAAACTGGCTGTTAGATGTAAAACTTAGCATGGAGATGCTGCTGTGCTTATTCTCTCTTTTTACTTTTGGCTGAACATGTATAAAACTGTTAAGTTATTAATAAAATGAATTCATATACCGCACTAAGTGGAATGGATTTATTCACTGATTTAATAATTCATAACTCTCTGTTTTATCATTCACAGCATATTACACAAAAAGAGCTGTGAATACAGTTTCTGGTGAGTTGATTCAATGTTATTACCAGAGCAAAAATTCATTTTTATCAGGTTTGGCTGTTTTACATAATTTATTGTTTTTATAAAGTTATTAATCTTATGCTTGCTAAATCTGAATGACATACCCCTGAGGAATTGAGAGTGACCATGCTGGTTTTGTTTCTTTCGACTTCACATCTGCCCATCTCCAACCATGAATTACTCCATTACCACCACTGTAATTGGAAAAATATCCATTATCAATAAAATTATTCTTAAAGGCAAAATCAAAAAAGTCCTCAAAGAACTATGTAATACCAGATTGGAAAAAAACAAATTCAATTTTTTTCTACTGCTAAAATACCTATTAAATTAACTTATTCTATAATTTCTACAGACATCTTTAAAGTAGAAAAACATGCAATCAAGGTTTGTAGGAAACATAAACTCAATTTCTTAAAGAATAAAATACAATCAGAAAACAGCAAATTTGTATAAGTTATTCTTGTCAAAACCATTTAATTTATTTGTAAATTACATTTCAAAATCACCAATCCAGATTTCATACAAAACAAAAACTATTTTCTTCTCAACAGATGATCTAAAAATAATTATAAAGAACAACTTTTTTCTAATATTTTTTATGAGTATGTCTGATCATTGAATATAAAGAATTGTTTCAACCATACCAAAGATATCTAAATCTTTTATCAACTTTACAACTATTAACATTTGTCAGGAAGGGATAAGAGAGGGGTGGGTATCAGAATATACTTGGAATCATTCACACTTTTTATATTAACACTAACATTAGACAATGTTAAAATTGACACAGTATACAGACAAGAAAAATCATTTCTATAAAATCTATAATTGAAAAAGAAAACATTATGGGGGACTATAAAAGTCCCCACAACGTTTAAGTATCTACTTTATAGGCTTGAACTTGAAACAACCTACCTGATTAGGAATTTGTCATTTGATGTCATTGCATAAACAGAATCATCATGGGCTGGAATGTACAGAGCATAATATAATTCTTTTACTGTAAATAATTCAACAAAGGAGCTTATTGTGTAGTTTCATATGAACTGTTATTTCACAATGTATAGTTTTTAGAGTGTTTGTTTGAAGTTAAGTGCAAAGCTACACAAAGGGCTATCTGTGCTCTGCCCTTCACAGGTATCGAAACCAGGTTTCTAGCATTGTAAGTCCACAGACATACCACTGTACCACTGGACTCTGTGCTAAGTTTTCATCATACCTGGTAAGAACAGTCCATATAAATTATTCAACATCTCAAAACACTGCTTAAAACTTTCTTTAAAAGAATACACTGAGGTTTACATTTGATATTTTACCTGACACTTAGCTAGCTTTTAAAATATATGTAGCAATATTTGTATATATTCTTTAAGTAAAGTTTGTGGTAGCCTTTTTGAGACAACAATCACAACTTAAACTACTTTAAATTTGAAAAATATTATATAAGTGCACATTTGATGATTTTTAACTTAATATCCAAATATACAATAATTTCCCCCTATAAATGTGGAAACATATTACAAGTAAAGCTCAAGATTAATACAACAAATTCATGATCTCAAAAGATATGTTGTGTGTACTGTATTGGAATCTATTAATAACCAAGATTTTGCATAACTCTTTTCCCATCAATTTTTTTTCAATCTCTTTCCATCACAGTTGGTTTTCAGACTTTTATATATATATATATATATATATATATATATACTATACACAATAGTTAGTAGT